CTGCAGTATTTAAAGGGTCGGCGTATAACACGCACCCACAATTTCTCCCCTATTTTCAGGGAGAAAAAGTGCGTGTTATACGCCGATAAAGACGGTATATTATTTCGTTCTACGTGTAGTTTGATATAAATATATATTAATATCACAATACAGTCAGAACGAAATAACACATCTATATATTTATTTTTATTTTATTTTTTAATGTATTTACATATTTAATTTTTTTATATTATATATAAACATATAACAATAATTATATATATATATATATATATATATATATATATAAATAAAATCAGTATCAGTCTACTTGTAATTTGATATTTATTATATATTAATAATAAAATACAACCAGACAGTGTACGTGTGTGTGTATATATATATATATATATATATATATATATATATACACACACACACACACACACACACACAATATATATATGATCTAAGTATACATTTTTTTTATTTATTTTTTTACACTTATTTTATTTTATTTTATTTTTATTTTCAGCCAGCAGGGGGACCATCTGTCATTACATGGCCGGGGGGCACCGGAGGAGGAGGATCTGCCGCGGGGGGTAAGTAATGAAAGACCGGAGGGCGTACAATTACGCCCGGCGGCGTTTAGAGCCGCCTAAAATAGGGCGTAATTGTACGCCCTCCGGTCTTAAGGGGTTAATTGAACCTGTCCCTCGCAGGTGCTGCCTTCCTCTTTAGGCAGTTTCTCTTGCGCTCCTGGCGCTCCAAGAGCTGGTGTCACTGCTGTACTCTCGCGCATGCATGAAAGATCCCGTGGTCTCCATAGATAGATACAAAATTTCCTGCAGCCGTCACTGTTGATGGCTGGGGGATTGATACTTCTTGATGGCGGTAGCTCCGCCTAGTGTCAAGGTGTTTCAGGCAGAAGAAAACACTGAAACAAAGTAGTCCCTAAATGAAGTGGTCTGGGTGCAGTGGCCCTGTATAAGCACCATTAATTGGGCAAATGAAGAGGAGGAAAATGTATCCACAACCTGGGTTACAAGTCGACACAGAAAAGCCCCGAAAAACACTGTAGTTATTAGTTATTTAAAAATTATTTCCATATTGGAGACTGAAACAAATATCTGCAGAATGCAACATTACTTATATCTGCATCAAGCGTGTAGAAAATGTCGTCGATATAAGAAAATTTGGAATATACATAATACTGAAAACTGCTTACATGGCAATGGTGTATCTTGGGAAGACTTGAAAGATGAAGTACCCAACTTGATGGCTATCTGCCTCATCTTCTCTAGGTCACCACACTCCTCTGCTTCAAGATATTCCTTCTGAGCTCGAAGTTTCTCCACATCTGGGAAGAAATCTCTTTGAATGATTTTCTGCAAGTTCTGTGAAGAAAAGCATATATATGTGATCTAACTTATTCTGACATTAGGCATCTATTTTAAACAAAGGAAATTTTGATTTTTTTTTTTATTCAGTCCTAACTTTTACAGTGAGGGGAAAAAGTATTTGATCCCCTGCTGATTTTGTACATTTGTCCACTAGCAAAGAAATGATCAGTCTATAATTTTAATGGTAGGTGTATTTTAACAGTGAGAGACAGAATAACAACAACAAAAAAATCCAGAAAACCACATGTCAAAAAAGTTGTAAATTGATTTGCATGTCAATGAGTGAAATAAGTATTTTATCCCCTATAAATCAGCAAGATTTTTGACTCCCAAGTGTCTTTTATATAGGCAATGAGTTGAGATTAGCAGCACTCTCTTAAAGGGAGTGCTCCTAATCTCAGCTCGTTACCTGTATAAAAGACACCTGTCTACAGAAGCAATCAGATTCCAAACTCTCCACCATGGCCAAGACCAAAAAGCTGTCTAAGGATGCCAGGGACAAGACCATCACCAAGCAGCTTGGTAAGAAGGTGACAACAGTTGTTGCGATTATTCGCAAATGGAAGAAACACAAAATAACGGTCAGTCTCCCTCGGTCTGGTGCTCCATGCAAGATCTCACCTCGTCGAGTTTCAATGATCATGAGAGCGGTGAGGAATCAGCCCAGAACAACACGGGAGGATCTTGTTCATGATCTCAAGGCAGCTTGGACCATAGTCACCAAGAAAACAATTGGTAACACACTACAACGTGAAGGACTGAATTACTGCAGTGCCCACAAGGTCCCCCTGCTCTAAAAAAGCACATGTACAGGTCTGCAGGATTTTAATATCTATTTTGTATGTATTACTCTATTTTTATTTTGTATAATTAAAGTGGTATACTATTGTAACAAACCACATTCCTGGCCTTACATCATATTTCCTTGGGTTGGATTAAAGGGGGAATTGCCACTCATCTGGCAATGTGTGCAAAAACTTGGAGCCTGCATTCTATGGGCTCCAGGTAAAGGTGAGCAAGACTTTTTATATGCCTACACTTCCATGTATTATAATCCTAAAGGTATTTTTCCACTATCATATGCTCCCTTTTGTGTTTTACTTTATTTATGCACCTGACTGGAGGATCCTGATTATCAGAAGAGGTACAGTTGCCGCCAGAAAGACACTAACATGTGTATGTTCAGAGCCATTTCGTTTGAAAGGCTCAAAATATTGTAAGCATATATACACTACAAGCTTACATTTGTGATTTTAAAAACTTTGTTGCACTATGTATTCTTATATTTCATGTCAATGAGAATATATTACCCTATATTTATAGAGGGGAAAGTTTGAACAAGATATTTTAAGTGCTGCACTCGCTCTTTGATGTTTTTTTGTTTTGGTGGTCCATTTCTTAAGCATTGCGGTATTTGGTTTTAGATACATGTACAGGCCCATCTGAAGTTTGCCAATGAACATCTGAATGATTCAGAGGAGAACTGGGTGAACATTTTATGGTCAGATGAGTCCAAAATCAAGCTCTTTGGCATTAACTCAACTCGCCATGTTTGGAGGAGGAAGAATGCTGCCTATGACCCCAAGAACACCAGTCCCACTGTCAAACATGGAGGTGGTAACATTATGCTATGCTTTGGGGGTGTTTTTCTGCTAAGGGGACAGGACAACTGCACCACATCAAAGGGACTATGGATGGGGCCATGTACCGTCAAATTTTGGATGAGAATCTCCTTTCCTCACCCAGGGCATTGAAAATGGGTTGTGGATGGGTATTCCAGCATGACAATGACCCAAAACACACAGCCAAGGCAACAAAGGAGTGGCTCAAGAAGAACCACATTAAGGTCCTGGAGTGGTCTAGCCAGTCTCCAGACCTTAATCCCATAGAAAATCTGTGGAGGGAGCTAAAGGTTCGAGTTGCCAAACGTCAGCCTCGAAACCTTAAAGGACCACTCTAGGCACCCAGACCACTTCAACTTAATGAAGTGGTCTGGGTGCCAGGTCTCTTAGGTGCCAACCTATTTTTCATAAAATACAGCAGCCAGAGAAATCGCTATGTTTGGCGAATAATGGGTTAAGCTTTCCTCTATTTCTAGTGGCTGTCTTGGCTGGACAGCGCCGCTAGGCGCTATGCGCAGTTTCACTGTGATTTTTCTACAGTGAGAGTATCGCTAAAGCGTTTCAGGGAAAGCATTGATAATGCTTTCTAGATCGTTGAATGCTGCCAGGCTCTTGGTTTTCGCTGCAAGTATTCAGCCGACGGGGAGGAGAAGAGGAGGATCGGAGGAGGAGAGCTCTCCGCCCAGCGCTGGAAAAAGGTAAGTTTTTACCCCTTTCACCCTTCCAGAGCCGGGCGGGAGGGGGACCCTGAGGGTGGAGGCACCCTCAGGGCACTATAGTGCCAGGAAAACAAGTATGTTTTCCTGGCACTATAGTGGTCCTTTAATGACTTGGAGAGGATCTGCAAAGAGGAGTGGGACAACATCCCTCCTGAGATTTCTCTGACCTCTGTGATTGCCAACAAGGGTTTTGCCACCAAGTACTAAGTCGAAGGGGTCAAATACTTATTTCACTCATTGACATGCAAATCAATTTATTACATTTTTTGACATGCGTTTTTCTGTTGTTGTTATTCTGTCTCTCACTGTTAAAATACAAATACCATTAAAATTATAGACTGATTTCTTTGTCAGTATGCAAACATTCTTAATCAGCAGGGGATCAAATAATTTTTTCCCTCACTGTATATTAACAAGCACAATTATAAAATCCTGAAGTTAGCTTCTTGTGTGTTCATTTATTTTAATTCCAGGATGAACCAATTTAACAGAGGCAATCCAACCATTTTACCCTCACCACGCCAGTCTCCGTCTTCTAGGAAAGGTCTCACCCTCACCTCGTCTGTCTCCGTCTTCTAGGAAAAGGTCTCATCCTCACCACATCTGTCTCCGTTTTCTAGGAAAAGGTCTCATCCTCACCACATCTGTCTCCGTCTTCTAGGAAAAGGTCTCACCCTCACCACATCTGTCTCCGTCTTCTAGGAAAGGTCTCACCCTCACCTCGTCTGTCTCCGTCTTCTAGGAAAGGTCTCACCCTCACCTCGTCTGTCTCTGTCTTCTAGGAAAGGTCTCACCCTCACCTCGTCTGTCTCCGTCTTCTAGGAAAAGGTCTCACCCTCACCTCGTCTGTCTCTGTCTTCTAGGAAAGGTCTCACCCTCACCTCGTCTGTCTCCGTCTTCTAGGAAAAGGTCTCACCCTCACCTCGTCTGTCTCCGTCTTCTAGGAAAAGGTCTCACCCTCACCTCATCTGTCTCCGTCTTCTAGGAAAAGGTCTCACCCTCACCACATCTGTCTCAATCTTCTAGGAAAAGGTCTCACCCTCACCACATCTGTCTCCGTCTTCTAGGAAAAGGTCTCATCCTCACCACATCTGTCTCCGTCTTCTAGGAAAGGTCTCACCCTCACCGCGTCTGTCTCCGTCTTCTTGGTAAAGGTCTTACGCTCACTTTATAGTGCCCCCCACTCCTTTTGTCTCCATTTTAAAGAATAAGTCTCGCCCTCGACACATCGGTCCCAGTTTACTAGGACAGGTCTCACCCTCTCCGTGTCTCTCTCCAACTTCTAGGAAAGGTCTCACACTCACTGCGTATTTCCCCTCCACTGCTTCTGTCTAAAACTTTTAAGAACTGTCTCTCTTCCATTATATAATTACTTAAATAACTGCCTGTTGGGGATCTCTCTCTCCTCTATGCATTATATGTTTAAAGGGATCTCTTTCCTGCCCTACACCCATCCCCTGTATTGTATACTGCTCATTTATTTCTTACCTGTATATATGCCTCTTCCGACAGCACCTGTTTTTTCGGCCTTTTTTCCTCGGTCTCTCCATTGGGTCCCTTGGGAACGGCTAACGCGACACTCCCGGGTTTGCTGGGGACCAGGGCCCTGGACAGTGGGCTCCCTGGACCAGAAGCCGCCATCCCGCAGCCCAGACAAGGCACAGCTCGGGGGCTGGTAGTTCAATAAGGTATTCTATCAAATTCCCCTACCCTCGCCTCCAGACCAGACTCCAGACCGGA